ACATGGATATCTGCAAGTCTTAACAAAATCTCGCTGCCTATTTCTGATGGAACATCGTTCCATGAATTTGCAGACGATGACAACTACACCATACTGCCTCCTGTGGCTTGAAAACATTGGAAAGTGACGTGCTATCCAGTCTCTGGCGCTATGAAGCTGTCGCTGTAAACCTTTACTTTTCATGACGTTTTCTTTCTTTTCGGCTCCATGTTTGCTGCCCAAAGAGCACCCCCGTCCTCCGATGACAGTTGGGGAAACATGCCACTCCTGTGTTGCTTTCCATATTTGAATTTGTGCACTAAACATTTAGCTGAAAGAAACACGCTGAGAATGTAAGTGTTTACAGGGTCAGCTTCATTGCACCATGACCAGGATCAGGGAGAGGTATTAGCAGTAGTAAGAGGGAAGTGCTCATGCCATTGTACAGAACACTGGTGAGACCTCACTTGGAGTATTGTACACAGTACTGGAGACCATATCTTCAGAAGGATATTGATACCTTAGAGAGGGTTCAGAGAAGGGCTACTAAACTGGTTCATGGATTGCGGGATAAAACTTACCAGGAAAGGTTAAAGGATCTTAACATGTATAGCTTGGAGGAAAGACGAGAAAGGGGGGATATGATAGAAACATTTAAATACATAAAGGGAATCAATACAGTAAAGGAGGAGACTGTTTAAAAGAAGAAAAACTACCACAACAAGAGGACATAGTCTTAAATTAGAGGGACAAAGGTTTAAAAATAATATCAGGAAGTATTACTTTACTGAGAGGGTAGTGGATGCATGGAATAGCCTTCCAGCTGTGGGATAGGCATAAGGCTATCCTAACAAAGTATTTAGACATTTTTGCAGACTAGAGTAGCTGAAGGGTTATTATCTGCCTTCACATTCTATGTTCTAACACTTCGCCAGATCGCAGCTGATAATTGCAGCTGAATGTTCTGTAGCTCAGTTTTATGAAAATATTATTTAAACTTTCCTGAATATTGTTTTAAATAGATTCATGTAAAGAAAATTTGAAGTGACCGATCCTTTAAGAGCTCTGTTTTTCATGTATGTAGATTTATACCCACTGCACTCCATGTATATTGCTCCAACATATTGTGTAGCGCTGTATTATAGGTAAACAAAACCTACAAATAAAATCGGGCTGAGCAATGACACATTTTTCGGTGCAGGGACTTTTTCAGGGTTATTAACTAAACTGATAATTCACAGTGAATTTCAAATGTAAGGCCAAATTAGCCTGACTGAAAGCGTGGCTAGTTTTAATCATTTTTCTACTTTGGCTATTATTTTATTCTCTTTGAATTCTCATTTTAGTGTGTATCCCTGTTAGTGTGGCCTTATTAGCCTCTCTGTCCATGTTTCCATCAAGTTACAAGAAGCATGGGCAGAATCATATTGAGGGTTAGTGGGGGGAAATTTACCACAAAGAGGAAATTGATGAATTTTGATGAAGCCTCTTACAGGCATTACAGGACCAAGAGGTGACTAGAAAGTATACGTATTTACTATGCACTGCTAATTCATGCGAAAAAACGAACCCAAAACATTTTTATTAACGTGTAAACTTGAATTTCTTAGCTTTTTTCTTTTGATAATTATACAGTGAGCTTTTGATCAGTGTAATTGGAAGTGATCAGTTTGGATGAATTGAAATGTCTGCACTGTTTATAGAATTTTCATGTCTGCTGAGTATTGATCTGAATTGAGAATACCGAAGTGATGCTAAATACTGGAAGGGTTAACATTGGACAGGGAGACAGTCTACATATTGTGTGCATATTGCAATCACAGCCCGGGAAACAGTCAATGAATTCAGGCTGCACATGGCATCACGCAGGTTATGTATAAAAGCATTGCATTCTGTTTTTACATGGATTTTCTGTCATTTTTCATCTCACCGTTTAACACTGTGCTCTCCATTGATCTCACTGTATGACGCTGTGCTCTCCATTGATCTCACTGTATGACGCTGGGCTCTCCATTGATCTCACTGTATGACGCTGTGCTCTCCATTGATCTCACTGTATGACGCTGGGCTCTCCATTGATCTCACTGTATGACGCTGTGCTCTCCATTGATCTCACTGTATGACGCTGTGCTCTCCATTGATCTCACTGTATGACGCTGGGCTCTCCATTGATCTCACTGTATGACGCTGTGCTCTCCATTGATCTCACTGTATGACGCTGTGCTCTCCATTGATCTCACTGTATGACGCTGTGCTCTCCATTGATCTCACTGTATGACGCTGTGCTCTCCATTGATCTCACTGTATGACGCTGTGCTCTCCATTGATCTCACTGTATGACGCTGGGCTCTCCATTGATCTCACTGTATGACGCTGGGCTCTCCATTGATCTCACTGTATGACGCTGTGCTCTCCATTGATCTCACTGTATGACGCTGGGCTCTCCATTGATCTCACTGTATGACGCTGTGCTCTCCATTGATCTCACTGTATGACGCTGGGCTCTCCATTGATCTCACTGTATGACGCTGTGCTCTCCATTGATCTCACTGTATGACGCTGTGCTCTCCATTGATCTCACTGTATGACGCTGGGCTCTCCATTGATCTCACTGTATGACGCTGGGCTCTCCATCTCACACTATATATATATATATATATATATATATATATATATATATATATATAATCTATCTCGCTCTATCCGCTTTACAGGGCTGAGCGATGCTTTACAATACCGGGCTGAGCAACGCACTGCTTTGCTATACCGGGCTGAGCGACGCACTGCTTTGCTATACCGGGCTGAGCGATGCATTGCTCTGCTATACAGGGCTGAGCGACGCATTGCTCTGCTATACAGGGCTGAGCGATGCATTGCTCTGCTATACCGGGCTGAGCGACGCACTGCTTTGCTATACCGGGCTGAGCGATGCATTGCTCTGCTATACAGGGCTGAGCGACGCATTGCTCTGCTATACAGGGCTGAGCGACGCATTGCTCTGCTATACAGGGCTGAGCGATGCATTGCTCTGCTATACCGGGCTGAGCGACGCACTGCTTTACTATACCGGGCTGAGCGACGCATTGCTCTGCTATACAGGGCTGAGCGACGCACTGCTTTGCTATACCGGGCTGAGCGATGCATTGCTCTGCTATACCGGGCTGAGCGACGCATTGCTCTGCTATACCGGGCTGAGCGACGCACTGCTTTGCTATACCGGGCTGAGCGACGCATTGCTCTGCTATACCGGGCTGAGCGACGCATTGCTCTGCTATACCGGGCTGAGCGACGCACTGCTTTGCTATACCGGGCTGAGCGACGCATTGCTCTGCTATACCGGGCTGAGCGACGCACTGCTTTGCTATACCGGGCTGAGCGACGCACTGCTTTGCTATACCGGGCTGAGCGACGCATTGCTCTGCTATACCGGACTGAGCGACGCTTTGATCTGCCATGTGCTGCTGTAAAGTAATATTCTGCTAACTCCATTTTATGTTACTACTGATTTAGTTTCACAGCCGACTAAGCTACAGTTAAATTAACACAATTTTTTAAATGAAACGATAAAACACAATCGAAGCATGTTTACAGAATCATTTCAAATGTTTTTCAATTGGTGTGAATGTTGATTGTTTTTAAGATTGTACACGATGTGAATGCACTGTATCTGTTTTCATTGAGATTCAGTGCTAGTGATTTAACTAATAAAGTTAAAAATATATTATTTTGTTAGTTGAGTATTATTTTATAATCACCAAATAATAAAAAAAATGGGAAATGTGTTTGGAAAAAACATTAAACGGAATGCTCCATTATAAATGAAACTGAATATTATATGCATATTATAAAGCATCTTTAAACCACATACATAACGCTAATTTCAACTAATTAAATTGGAAATTGTGATACATTTTTGCCTCAATTCTGCAATTTGGTTTTCCGTTTCGCTACCAATAGTCTACAAGATATTGTTCTCTCCTGGTGCTCCTCCTACCTCTCCCAGCGCTCTTTCAGTGTTTCTTTCTCTGACTCAGTCTCTTCTCTCTAACCACTCTCTGTTAGCATTCCCCAAAGGTCTGTTCTTGGTCCCCTACTGTTCTTGACCTATACTGCCTCCCTTGGTAAATTAATCAGCTCTTTTAGCTTCCGTTATCATTTCTATGCAGATGACACAAAAATATCTCTCCTCTCCTGATTTCTCCCCGTCCCTCTCGACTCTTAATCTGTCCAAAACAGAACTTCTCATCTTCTCATCTTACCTCTCAAGTGTTGCTACTTCCGTGTCTGTCTCCCTCCAAGTCAACGGCGCTACCATCACGTCTACCTCGCAGGCTCGCTGCCTGGGTGTTATCTTTTACTCCGACCTCTACTTCACTCCTCACGTCCAGTCGATAACCAAATCCTGCCGCTTCCATCTCAAAAACATAGCGCATATCCGCCCCTATTTAACATCGGATGCGGCTAAGGTGCTGGCCCATGCTGTTGTTTTCTATCGCCTTGACTACTGCAATCCGCTTCTCAGTGGTGTCGTATTCCCAACTAGCTCTGTTATAGTCTATAATGAATGTGGTAGCAAGGCTCTTCCTGTCCGCTCACATCTCCACCTCTGTCAGTCCCTACAGTGGCTTACTGTAAGATATAAGGCTCAATTTATAATTATGGTAATTTACAATTCTCTATACAATGCTGCTCCGACCTGCCTAGCTTTACTAATAAACAAATATGTTCGATCTCGGCCGCTGCGCTCTGCTGAAGACTTGCGTCTATCCTCTATTTGTACTCCCACCTCTAACTCATTCCTTCAAGACTTCTCTAGGGCAGCACCATTTCTGTGGAACTAACTTCCCTTCACCGTTACACTTTCACTCGGTTTCCTTCAAAAAACTTATTGAAAACTCACTTCAGGAAAGCATATCGATTTAACTGCGACTGCTTTCACTCTCCACACCTTGGTAACACACCATGACTCCTCTCCTGCAACTGTCATAAAAAAGCAAACCACTAAGCCCTCAGTGAATACTATTTTAGCAACCTACTTTTCTACCCTATCCTTACCCTTTGCGTAACAATACCCCACTCCCTCTAGCATGTAAGTAAGCTCATCGAGGAGGTGCCTCAACCCCTGTGTTCCTGTGCGTCCTTTTTGTCTAGTTTCAACTACATGTCTGTCAGTCCACCCATTGTACAGCGCTATGGATCTGCAGGCACTTTATAAATAATAATTTTAGTGCAAAAGTACAAATTCCAAAATGTCTTCAAACCTTTTCCAGCTCTGCTTTATCGGGCTAGTAGTTCTAGCATCTGTTCTCCATAATTCTGTATTAAGCAAATTGTATTCGCTAGACCGTATTTGTAGCGAACTGTTGTGTATAACTTTTCATGTAATGTGTGCTGAACCGCCCAATAATAGCGGTTTTAAACTTTCCAGATACACAGCACGTTTTCACTCCTTTAGGTATGTGCGAATGTCTTTTTTTTTTTTCACACTTGTCTTCCCCCTATATTGCTAGTCGGTATATTTGTGAATTTTGTACAGTTGATCTGAAACATATATATTTTTATTTTTTTTAAAGCTAAAAATACGTTGTTTTTTTTTTCCATTACCTCTCCTGCTATTCCTTCCGTCCTTGGAATGCTTCGACTTGGAATATCGAATAAGTTTGCAATTACAAACTAGCTATTAAAATAAATAAGAGAGTGACCACTGCATATGAATCATTTGTAGGAGCCTCACATATGGTTACTGAAGTAATCTCTAACAGGGGGTAACCCTTACTGATCAATATAGAAGCAAATAATTGTTGGAGAAATCCAGCAGAGTGGAAGTTTCACTATGAGATTACTATAAATGGGTAGAAGCCACTTCATTAGGATAAAAACATAGAACTTTATTAGCTAAGATTAAAAAAGAAAACACGTGTCTACAAACATGGACAAACTAGTGTGGCTAGTGGGCTGAAAATATTGTAACCACAGATATTCTTTGACAGAAAAAGGGGATTAACCACTGTTAGATATAAGGTCAGTAAAGAGCTAACTGGACACTCTGTGTCTAGGCAACGTTGCCGCAATATATCAGATTGTTACAAAGTATTATTTAAGAGCTCTTGCTTAGGAGAGGTTGAAATTAAAGGACTACTATAGTGCCAGGAAAACACGTGTTTTCCTGGCACTATAGTGCCCTGAGGGTGCTCCCACCCTCAGGGTCCCCCTCCTGCCAGGCTCTGGGGAGAGGAAAGGGGTTAAAACTTACCTTTCTCCAGGGCCGGGCGGGGAGCTCTCCGATCCTTCTCCTCTCCTCCCTTTCGGCTGAATGCGCGCGCGGCAACAGCTGCGCGCGCATTCAGCCGGTCTCATAGGAAAGCATTTACAATGCTTTCCTATGGACGCTTGCGTGTTCTCACTGTGATTTTCACAGTGAGAATCACGCAAGCGCCTCTAGCGGCCGTCAATGAGACAGCCACTAGAGGATTTGAGGGCTGGATTAACCCATTTATAAACATAGCAGTTTCTTTGAAACTGCTATGTTTATAAAAAAAAAAAAATGGGTTAACCCTAGCTGGACCTGGCACCCAGACCACTTCATTAAGTTGAAGTGGTCTGGGTGCCTAGAGTGGTCCTTTAAATAATCAATTTACTCATGTGGTAGTAGGCAGGGTGTAAGTATAGATGCAGTTATATAAAAGATGCACATTGAAAAAAACACGAGTCATAATGGCCTCATTAGATGGATACTTAGAAAAAGGAGTAACGATACGGCAGTGCTAAGTTAGATTAACAAAAGGTCAATATGTACTCTGCCTATGGCTCCTAATAAAATTAGATATATTATGAATAAATCTTAATGCTAGATAAACTGCTTCGAGGCAGTTCCCAGTACCCACTAAGGAGCCTTTTACTAAAGCTGAAATAGCCAAACAACCTAGCCACACCGTGAAACGAACTAAGTGCACATCAGTGAATAGTGCTCTAGAATGCCATCAACTTGACGCGCGTTTCGGCACAAATCGTGCCTTCCTCAAGAGATATGAACAGGTCTCCAGTCTCTTCGTTCAAATAGGGTGTAAGCCCACCCATAAGTGAAGTAATGCGTCCAATCCGGTCATTGGGACGTCACAGAATTATCAGGTGTCGTATTAAACGGCCGTTATCTATTAACTCCTTAAAGGGAAACCTCTAACCCAGCACTTAAAGTACTTTTTCGATATGAAACCAAATTGCACTAATATCCAAAGTACATTGTGTGTGGTAAAGTAAATCCCTTTGTATCCTTATTGGAAAGATCACTGCAGCAGAATCTAATAAGCGGATAAACTCTTATTTGTATATAGCATTATGACATAATCTAAAACAGTAGAGCTTAGTGAATCTATCCCACCCACTACACGGAGCCTGTCTCAAGGACATAACATGAGTATTAGAATTCTCGTTATTACTTTGGAGGAAAATGATTATAGTAAATATGTAAACACTTTAAATTTGTTTTAACATGTCACATAAGCAATATTCCTTTCTTAGATTTAAATGAGCCTAAGCAGAAAACACTGTTTAGGAGATTCTCCTCATTTTAATGGGTGTAATACTGTTAGATGTATATTGAAAAGTGAGCTTTTTTTCATGATTGACAGGGAGCTAAGATGGAGGTGGCTCTCTCTATACTGACTGCAAGGTGTAAAGGGCGGAGCTTATAACAATGACTGACAGGGAGCTAAGATGGAGGCGGCTCTCTCTATACTGACTGCCAGGTGTAAAGGGCGGAGCTTATAACAATGATTGACAGGGAGCTAAGATGGAGGCAGCTCTCTCTATACTGACTGCCAGGTGTAAAGGGCGGAGCTTATAACAATGATTGACAGGGAGCTAAGATGGAGGTGGCTCTCTCTATACTGACTGCCAGGTGTAAAGGGCGGAGCTTATAACAATGATTGACAGGGAGCTAAGATGGAGGTGGCTCTCTCCATACTGACTGCAAGGTGTGGGGCGGAGCTTATAACAATGATTGACAAGGAGCTAAGATGGATGCCTCCATACTGACCGCCAGGTGTAAAGGGCGGAGCTTATAACAATGACTGACAGGGAGCTAAGATGGAGGCGCTCTCTATACTGACTGCCAGGTGTAAAGGGCGCAGAGTTTATAACAATGACCGACAGGGAGCTCAAGATGGATACGCTCTCTATACCGACTGCCAGGTGTAAAGGGCGGAGCTTATAACAATGATTGACAGGGAGCTAAGATGGAGGCGGCTCTCTCTATACTGACTGCCAGGTGTAAAGGGCGGAGCTTATAACAATGATTGACAGGGAGCTAAGATGGAGGTGGCTCTCTCTATACTGACTGCCAGGTGTAAAGGGCGAGCTTATAACAATGATTGACAGGGAGCTAAGATGGAGGCGGCTCTCTCTATACTGACCAGGTGTAAAGGGCGGAGCTTATAACAATGATTGACAGGGAGCTAAGATGGAGGTGGCTCTCTATACTGACTGCCAGGTGTAAAGGGCGGAGCTTATAACAATGATTGACAGAGAGCTAAGATGGAGGCGGCTCTCTCTATACTGACTGCCAGGTGTAAAGGGCGGAGCTTATAGCAATGACTGACAGGGAGCCAAGATGGAGGTGGCTTTCTCTATACTGACTGCCAGGTGTAAAGGGCGGAGCTTATAACAATGACTGACAGGAGCTAAGATGGAGGCGGCTCTCTATGCTGACTGCCAGGGGTAAAGGGCGGAGCTTATAACAATGATTGACAGGGAGCTAAGATGGAGGCAGCTCTCTATGCTGACTGCCAAGGTGTAAAGGGCGGAGCTTATAACAATGATTGACAGGGAGCTAAGATGGAGGTGGCTCTCTCTATACTGACTGCCAGGTGTAAAGGGCAGAGCTTATAACAATGATTGACAGGGAGCTAAGATGGAGGTGGCTCTCTCTATACTGACTGGCAGGTGTAAAGGGCGGAGTTTATAACAATGATTGGCAGGGAGCTAAGATGGAGGTGGCTCTCTCTATACTGACTGCCAGGTGTAAAGGGCGGGGCTTATAACAATGATTGACAGGGAGCTAAGATGGAGGCTGCTCTCTCTATACTGACTGCCAGGTGTAAAGGGCAGAGCTTATAATAATGACTGACAGGGAGCTAAGATGGAGGTGGCTCTCTCTATACTGACTGCCAGGTGTAAAGGGCGGAGCTTATAACAATGATTGACAGGGAGCTAAGATGGAGGTGGCTCTCTCCATACTGACTGCCAGGTGTAAAGGGCTGAGCTTATAACAATGATTGACAGGGAGCTAAGATGGAGGCTGCTCTCTATACTGACTGCCAGGTGTAAAGGGCGGAGCTTATAACAATGATTGACAGGGAGCTAAGATGGAGGAGGCTCTCTCTATACTGACTGCCAGGTGTAAAGGGCGGAGTTTATAACAATGATTGACAGGGAGCTAAGATGGAGGAGGCTCTCTCTATACTGACTGCCAGGTGTAAAGGGCGGAGCTTATAACAATGATTGACAGGGAGCTAAGATGGAGGTGGCTCTCTCTATACTGACTGCCAGGTGTTAAGGGTGGAGCTTATAACAATGACTGACAAGGAGCTAAGATGGAGGTGGCTCTCTCTATACTGACTGCCAGGTGTAAAGGGCAGAGCTTATAACAATGATTGACAGGGAGCTAAGATGGAGGTGGCTCTCTCTATACTGACTGACAGGTGTAAAGGGCGGAGCTTATAACAATGATTGACAGGGAGCTAAGATGGAGGGGGCTCTCTCTATACTGACTGTCAGGTGTAAAGGGTGGAGCTTATAACAATGATTGACAGGGAGCTAAGATGGAGGCGGCTCTCTCTATACTGACTGCCAGGTGTAAAGGGCGGAGCTTATAACAATGATTGACAGGGAGCTAAGATGGAGGTGGCTCTCTATACTGACTGCCAGGTGTAAAGGGCGGAGCTTATAACAATGATTGACAGGGAGCTAAGATGGAGGTGGCTCTCTCTATACTGACTGCCAGGTGTAAAGGGCGGAGCTTATAACAATGATTGACAGGGAGCTAAGATGGAGGTGGCTCTCTCTATACTGACTGCCAGGTGTAAAGGGCGGAGCTTATAACAATGATTGACAGGGAGCTAAGATGGAGGTGGCTCTCTCTATACTGACTGCCGACCGGTTACAGAATAGAGAGATGTGAATTTCTGGGTTTAATTGTATGTTTTACACCTCACACATACATTAATGTTAAATAAGAGACTAACTTGGTTAGATTTAGAAAAAGCAAACTAATGGATACAATTTCGATATATATAGTTCCATTAATATTATAGAATACAACATAACGGATCTCTATTTAGTAAATAGTGCTAGCCATGGATTGCTAAGGATCGTTGATATCTCAGAGGGGAATACGTTGATATATTTCCACAGATACACCAAGGCCTTGGTTTTAACTTCAAAGAAGATTTTTTCATACCTGAGAATAAAATGCTATTTGGCTCAGCGTTTTCATTCTCGATGATAAAAATATCTTTAATAAAAAGATTAACTTATATAAATCTATATCAAATTGTTATGATATTCTGAGGTTCCAAGATATTGAACTTAAACCAAAAGCATGGAAACTATTGGGATCGTGTTTTGGGGTTAAACACGGATTTGGACCAGTGATATAGAGCTATATATGAAGTACGGAAAGAATTTCATTACTTAAATATTATAGAACTTCAATATAAAATCCTATATCAGTGGCATATGGTACCGTATAGTTTGAAATAGTGTGTTATGCAGGGATATAGTGTGTGTTATACAGAGATATAGTGTGTGTTATACAGAGATACAGTGTGTGTTATACAGGGATACAGTGTGTTATGCAGGAATACAGTGTGTGTTATACAGAGATATAGTGTGTGTTATACATGGATACAGTGTGTGTTATACAGGGATACAGTGTGTGTTATACAGAGAAAGTGTGTGTTATACAGAGATACAGTGTGTGTTATACAGAGATACAGTGTGTGTTATACAGGGATACTGTGTGTTATACAGAGATACAGTGTGTGTTATACAGAGATACAGTGTGTTATACAGGGATACAGTGTGTGTTATACAGAGATAGTGTGTTATACAGGGATACTGTGTGTGTTATACAGAGATACAGTGTGTTATACAGGGATACAGTGTGTGTTATACAGGGATACAGAGTGTTATACAGGGATACAGTGTGTTTTATACAGGGATACAGTGTGTTATACAGGGATACAGTGTGTGTTATACAGAGATACAGTGTGTGTTATACAGAGATACAGTGTGTGTTATACAGAGATACAGTGTGTGTTATACAGAGATACAGTGTGTGTTATACAGAGATACAGTGTGTGTTATACAGAGATACAGTGTGTGTTATACAGGGATACAGTGTGTGTTATACAGGGATACAGTGTGTGTTATACAGGGATACAGTGTGTGTTATACAGGGATACTGTGTGTGTTATACAGGGATACTGTGTGTGTTATACAGGGATACTGTGTGTGTTATACAGGGATACTGTGTGTGTTATACAGGGATACAGTGTGTGTTATACAGGGATACAGTGTGTGTTATACAGGGATACAGTGTGTGTTATACAGGGATACAGTGTGTGTTATACAGAGATACAGTGTGTGTTATACAGGGATACTGTGTGTTATACAGAGATACAGTGTGTTATACAGGGATACAGTGTGTGTTATACAGAGATACAGTGTGTTATACAGGGATACAGTGTGTGTTATACAGGGATACAGTGTGTTATACAGAGATACAGTGTGTGTTATACAGGGATACAGTGTGTGTTATACAGGGATACAGTGTGTGTTATACAGGGATACAGTGTGTGTTATACAGGGATACAGTGTGTGTTATACAGGGATACAGTGTGTGTTATACAGGGATACAGTGTGTGTTATACAGGGATACAGTGTGTGTTATACAGAGATACAGTGTGTGTTATACAGGGATACAGTGTGTGTTATACAGGGATACAGTGTGTGTTATACAGGGATACAGTGTGTGTTATACAGGGATACAGTGTGTGTTATACAGGGATACAGTGTGTGTTATACAGGGATACAGTGTGTGTTATACAGGGATACAGTGTGTGTTATACAGGGATACAGTGTGTGTTATACAGGGATACAGTGTGTGTTATACAGGGATACAGTGTGTTATACAGGGATACAGTGTGTGTTATACAGAGATACAGTGTGTGTTATACAGGGATACATGGATACAGTGTGTTATACAGGGATGGGGAGCAGACAGTCAGGTGACTCAGTGTTATTCTCTGTCTCTCCTGCTGCACATGTCCTGCTGTTACCAGTGAGGACTCCATTTCCCATGATGCTCCGGTCAGGTCTTTGTTGAAGTGTTTCCTGGGTTGTGGCTGGTGCTGGGGCTTCCTTCCCTGGCACATGTACCATCCCTGCCTGAAACTGGGCACTCCTGGGGGGCACTGACCCTGGAACCCCCTGCATCCCCAGCAAATCGCCTCACCCAGCCATCCGCAGCCGGTATCTGCAGAACCTACCATTGTAAGTAAGGGGGGTGGGGAGAAACCTGCATGTATGGCCGGGATCCCAACACAGAGACCATTAACCCTTACAGTGCTGGGTGCCTGGCCAGGTAGAGATCATTAACCCTCACAGTGCTGGGTGACTGGCCAGGTAGATACCATTAACCCTTACAGTGCTGGGTGACTGGCCAGGTAGAGACCATTAACCCTCACAGTGCTGGGTGCCTGGCCAGGTAGAGACCATTAACCCTTACAGTGCTGGGTGCCTGGCCAGGTAGAGACCATTAACCCTTACAGTGCTGGGTGCCTGGCCAGGTAGAGATCATTAACCCTCACAGTGCTGGGTGACTGGCCAGGT